GAAAGTGCACTTCGACGCGAGCTAGTCAGCCAGGCACGACCCGCTACAAATATACTGGCCTGATGAGGAGTTAATCAAAGCAAAGGTATGCTCACAGTGCAGCGTAATCCTATATGATCTACCACCTCATCACTCTTGCATGCCTAAGCGTATGCCTTAACGGCTGAATTTTCACAAAGTTGTTCTTTACGTCAATTGCTACCCACATGCGCCCCTGTGAAGCACAAGGTCTCGCCTGTTACGTCTGCACCTCCGTGAACGGCAGCTACCCGGACTGTGAGGACCCCGTGAAGGGCAGCATACCTTTTGAGGCGCCCTGTCGCCAAGGCAGACCGGGCTATGAGGGTCTCTCCTACGCAAGGTACTGCGTGAAAATCAAGGGTGAACGCGTATCTGATGGCCAGACCATCTACATTCGACGCTGTTCCATGGACAAACTGGCTGATGTACCGACGCACTGTGGACAATTTCGGCTTTCCGACGACCTCTACCAAGGATGTATAGCCACATGCACTCAAAATTGGTGCAATGTGGGCTCCCGTTACACTATAGACTTAGGACTGACTACTTTTGTACTGCTTTTATTGTCTCCGCTAACATGACTGCCCAGTAAAGCTAACAAAATCTATTCTGTATGATATAAATCGTAAATCCCTAATGAACTTTGTCGACTCTCATTTTAACAGCTGAAAAACAAACAAAGGCTTATTGGCAGCATCCTTATTGGGCTTCTCCCTGAGTTTATGTTTAGCCTGCTTAGATGAGATTTCAAACGTTTGGGAGAACAGCCATGAGAGTAAGAACAACAGGATGAATAAACGAGTTCAGGACTATGCGGACGGGGGAGAGCGTTCTCACTTAGCCTGGGGTATTAATGACTGATTTAACTAAATAGTACGTTGAAGTGCCGCTTCACAAAGCTGACTCTAAGCGAGGGTCCGCCCCATCTCGTTTCGGGCGTCCTGGGCTGGTGGTAGCCGATTAATGATGGCGGGATGTCCAAATTTAAAGCATTTTTCCCCCGGTATTACTTTGAAGCAAGACAA